AGCAGCATCTTCTGATAACAACAAAATTACAATAAAAAAACTGCAGTTGCTAACCCGCTTGCCAAGCGTGGCGACTATGGCAAAACCCCCCCAATGATGAGAGTAAAAAAGAGACGGCCCCCAGTCCCGGGCGGCCCCGCTATTCCTGGCTACGGTGGCGACCACGGTAACGGCGGGGCAGGGGGTGTTAAGAATCTCCGGTGGAGGTTCGGTTGCCACCTACGACGACTCAACCTGGCAACATACAACGCACGAACCCTGAGGACTGACGAGAAGATTGTGGAGCTGGAAGAAGTGATAGACAAGTAACGCTGGCACATTATAGGATTATCCGAAGTCCGAAGAAGGGGGAGGAAACGGTAATCCTCGAATCCGGCAACTTGCTCTATTACCGGGAGGGCGACCATCTGTCCCAAGGAGGTGTCGGATTTATCGTCCACAAGTCTTTCGTTAATAACGTTGTAAAGATTGAGAGGTCATACAGGTTTACGCACCAACCTCGGCGCACCCCATTGAGGAGGTGGAGGAAATGTATGAGGATATCTCTAGAGCCATGCATTCCTCCAAAACCCAATATACGGTGTTAATGGGAGACTTCAATGCAAAACTAGGCACAAGAGAGAATGGTGAGCTGAAAGTAGGGAAATTTGGAATAGGGCAACGGAACCCAAGGGGCCAGCAGCTGGCTGACTTCATGGAGAAAGAGGGACTCTTTATGATGAACTCTTTCTTCCAAAAGCGGCCCCACAGTAAGTGGACCTGGTCGAGCCCCGACGGTTCGACAAAAAATGAGATTGACTTCATTATGACGACCAGACGACAACTGTTCAGTGATGTCTCAGTGATCGCGAGGGTGAAAACCGGCAGCGATCACCGAATGGTGAGAGGCACACTGAACCTAAACGTTAAGTTGGAGAGATCACGTATAATGAAGTCAACGCTCCGTCCCCCTCGTGCTCTAATCCAAAGTCCCGAAACCTTTCAGCTCGAGCTACGAAACCGTTTTCAGTGCCTAGAAAATTGCAATGCAGTGGACGATATAAATGACAAGCTCGTGGAAACTGTCCATGCGGTCGGAGCTAAGTTTTGCAAGACCCGCCGCAGAAGAACACAAAAACTCTCCGATCACACTCTTAATCTCATGGCTGTTAGACGGGATATGAAGCTGCAGTCTTCAGTAGATTTGACAGCATACAGGCAACTGAACAGACAGATCTCCAAATGCATGCGGCGTGACTTACGCAACTTTAATACTGCTCGTATTGAAGAAGCGATCGAGCGGAACCAGATCTGTCTGCCAGAAAGAGCCAACTGTCGAAGCTGAAGAACGAGAATGGCAGCGTCGGTTCACCTGAGATTTTGAGTGAGATTGAGAGGTTCTATGGGCAGCTGTACACGACATCGTTGGAGCCACACGCAAGTGTGAGTAACGATCCAAGAGCGAGTCTTATCCGACATTATTCCAATGATATCCCGGACGTCAGTCTGATTGAGATTAGAATGGCTCTCCAGCACCTTAAAAACGGCAAGGCCCCAGGCGAGGATGGAATTACAGCGGAGCTTCTGAAAGCTGGTGGAAAACCGGTACTTGAAGTCCTTCAGAAGCTCTTTAATTCTGTCCTCCATGGTGGCATTACACCGGAGGTGTGGAGCAGAAGTGCGGTAATCTTGTTCTTCAAGAAAGGCGACAACGTTCTCTTGAAGAACTACAGACCGATTTCGTGCTGTTTTCGACAGTCATTACGAATCGTCTCGCGCGCAGACTTGACGACTTCCAACCTCCCGAACAAGCTGGTTTCCGAAAAGACTTTAGCACCATAGACCACATACATACCCTTCGGCAAATTGTACAGAAGTTCGAGGAGTACAATTTGCCACTATGTCTGGCGTATGTCGACTATGAGAAAGCCTTTGATTCCGTCGAAATTTGGGCGGTGCTGCAGTCCCTTCAGCGGTGCCAAGTTGACTGTCGGTATATCGAAGTGTTGAAGTGCTTGTACAGTAGGGCTACGATGAGTATCCGAGTACAGAACCAGAGTACGAAACCTATCCAATTGCAGAGAGGTGTAAGACATGGTGACGTCATATCCCCGAAACTCTTTACCGCTGCATTGGAAGACGTTTTCAAGCTTCTGGACTGGAAAGGATACGGTATCAACATCAATGGCGAGTACATCACTCACTTTCGATTTGCCGACGATATAGACTTTATGGCAGAATCGCTGGAGGACCTAAGCACTATGCTCAATGACCTCAATAGTGTTTACCTACGGATAGATCTTAAGATAAATATGGACAAAACAAAGATCATGTTTAATGTCCATGTCACACCTATGTCGGTAGTTGTTGGGAGCACTAAGCTCGAAGTTGTTGACGAGTATGTTTACCTGTGACAAATAGTCCGACTAGGTAAGTCCAACTTCGACCGAGAGGTCAATCGACGGATTCAACTCGGTTGGGTAGCGTTCGGGAAATTACGGCACATCTTCTCGTCAGTTATACCTCAAAACTTCAAAACGAGACTGTACAACCAGTGCGTGTTGCCAGTGATGACATATGGAACTGAGACGAGGTCATTCACTGCTGGCCGGATAAGGAAGCTCAAGGTTGCTCAGTGAGCTATGGAGAGGGCTATGCTCGGAGTTTCTCTGCGTGATAAACTTAGAAATGAGGATATCCGCAGTAGAACCAGAGTGACTGACATAGCCTAACGGATTACTAAGCTAAAGTGGCAATGGGCCGGCCATATAGCTCGAAGAACCGACAACCGATAGGGAAAAAAGGTTCTCGAGTGACAGCCTCGTACCGGCAGGCGAAGTGTAGGGCGTCCCCCCACTAGATGGAGTGACGACCTGGTAAGATATGCAGGAAGTCGATGGATGCAGGTGGCTCAGGATCGTGCTTTGTGGCATTCCTTGGGGGAGGCCTATGTTCAGCAGTGGACTAGTGAAGGGCTGTAATGATGATGATGATGATGATGACCTAAAAAAATACAATATTTAGCACAAATAATACTTACATGCTTATGATTTTAATAAAGTGCTCGACTCTAAAATTATTGGTGTTTTTTTATGTCAGGATCAGCAGTTAGCTCTTTTCGATGTCACAAGCAATACCTAGTACATAAGTTTAATTTAGTTTGGCGCACAAGTAGATAGACCTAAAGTTTGGTGTGCGTTGGCAGTTTTTTTTTATGTATCTATAATTCATTCTGTAGAATATAATTAATGATGAATGTGCAGACAGACACGATTTATAGATAAGATAAGGAGATGAATATTTCAAATATTCGCTTATATTTGTAAAATCGTTATCTCACTGTGCATAACCATTGAACTATAATCACGTATGCCCATTTACTCATAATTCAATCGAACGATCTCACGTACCGTCAATGCAAAATGTCGAATCGACATTTTTCGATATCACAAATAACAAATACATATTGCCTTATATATTCTCGCTAGTAGATTCGAAAGTTATTAACTGTTCTGGTATCGTATGGGTCTTTGGTGATGTAAAGAGTCGCCTACAGTGGCTGCTGTTGTTTAGTAATATCAATTAAAGTTACTATTATAACAAACGTAAGTGAAATCAATTTTTTTTTCAAAATATTAATAGTTTTAACTAGGTAGTTTTATTTCTTTGGCGGCGGATTAATAGAATCCGACACAATAAGAAAATCTAGTATTTCTTACGGCCTCCAATAGATTGTGGTAAAATTACTCGTATATGTTTATTTTGGTTGATACTGTAACTCGATTTCATCCTGGTGGTGTCTTGAGCAGTGGCTGTGATAAAGGCCACAAAGATTTAATGGCCTCCGAAAGATAGCGATATATAATCTCGTATAACCATTATAGCCTATAAACGTACACTGCTGAACCGCCATAGATTGTTGTTACGCTTGGCAGGCGGTTTGGTGACAGCAAATTTTTATTATTTTTAGTTGTTATCGATATATATGTACTACGTACTAGATTGCACATTTCGAACATACACTATGTTCAATTGAACTGTACTGCAATTCGTACAGTGTGTCATTTAGTGGGGTTTCAATCTACTAGTTAGTCTGTGGTGGCGCAACTGCGTATGCACGACTCTACTATCTCCCGCGCATGCGCCAAGACATAGAGTAGTGTACATTTTTTGTTTAGAAAGGCTTCTCTAGTTCGTAGTACATATAACTCAATGGCTGCAGTCCATCATCTGTTTCAGTTTCCCTTTTTCGCCTCTTACAACCACAAGGACGATACGGGGTAGTGGATATTCTTACACCAACACTCGTCTATTTAGTCAGATGTCAGCGTTATATGTGCAAGTGTCTCCTACTTCGATCGTTAATTCGCCTGCTAAACCTGGCGATTATTTTATCTGCGTGGCGTTTCGATTATGCATTTTCAAACTTAACACTAAATACGCAAATAAAAGTGAATTTTAGCCATCGATCACTAATAAAAAATTAGATACACAATCAGTGACAAAAAATGTCCTTACCGAATGAGCGCCCACTCGAACATTTGGGTGCGCTTTTAATTTATACGTAGCTTTGTGAATACAATTTGGGTGCACTTAAGGTTGAATTTACATTAATGTATATTTATTTCAACTACAATTACGTTAAAATAATTGGTGACAGTTTTTAGAAAACTTTTGCATGGGATTGTGTATCTAGTTTTTTATTAGTGATCGATGTCTTCAGCATTAACTATGAATGTGTTTGCAGTTGTTTTGTGTGATACGAGTATATGCAAAGCTGCAAATTTTTGTAATTTTCAATGTTTAAACTAAATTAATATTACTAAAATACCTTGTTCTTTAGACAACAATTATTACTTGATGAACGATCTCCTGCCGCTAAGCTAACTTGAAAATTAAGTAAATGTACCTATAGTAAAAATCATTTATTAGATCTCTACGAGATGCACAATCAAAATATTAAATGTACAATAATTGGTTATTTTTATTATTTTACGTATTTTAGATTATATCCCAAAAACATGCTTAACTTAAAGCAGTGGGTGTTAGTGGTGGCTTGCTTGTGCTTAGCTATATCCATTGAAGCAAGACGAAAACTAAAGCGGGATCAGGAAGAGAGCCTTAAGACAATTGAAGATCAATACGACGAGGATCTTGGTGAGGTTAGCGTTTAAAATGTTCCTTTTTTATATATTACTTGACTTCATAAGAAGTAAACTATAAAAAAATATTATTAATTATTTTGGTTATCCTTGGTGAATATATGCTTCAGTGTACAAAGTAATATGGGACGGTTCGGCAGCGCAGTAACTTATTTGGCGCATTTATCTGCCGCAGCGGGCCGCGGGTTTCTCTTCCCTAACGAAAAAAGCATATGAAATTTACAAATAACTATTTCGGGTCTGGATGTCAGTTCATGTGCAATTTATGAACATCTTCACAAAACAGAAGAAAGTTTTAGTGCAGGGTAGGCAATGTTTCCAAGAAATATGTCTGTCATATCATTTTATTCAATAAATTAATTTTATATTATGTTACACGTTTTAGCATAAGTCGCATGTCAGAAAAATCTTGTTATTTCAGGCATAAGTTTTAGCAACAGCAACTTACTACATATTAAATACTTCTAACTCTAATAACTAAAGTAAATCGTATTTTACCGTTTCAAGGAAATCGACGATGTTAATGATGATTCTATATATACTATTCATTCATTCATCATTCGTTACAACTTATGAAAAGTCTACTACTGCACATGTGTCCCTCATAGTTACCACCTCTGGCAGGCAGTCGGGTTAGAGACCGCAGTTACGACTTTTTAACCGGAGGATTCTCTTGCTCATCTCGTAGTTCATTTCTATCTATCGCCTCTTACGACACCCACAGGAATATATAAGGTAGTGGAAGCGGAACGTACCGTTGCTTTACTCATCTGTTATTAGCACATAATGTATAAATAATGGTTTCAATGGCAGCCTCGTATTAGCAAGCTCGATGTAGGACTGTTCCTTCCTCATGGGCCGGTAACGCATCTGCAATTCCTATCCGCTGTTGCAAATTATCGTGGGAGGTGATGATTACTCTTTTTAATACCATTTCATTTCTATGTAATTCCCAGATGAGTTATATAAAAATGATAATATTTATTTCACCAAATATTTTCCTTCTTCTTCTTCATGAGCTCGTTAAAGTTCGCTGGTGGAGATGGACTCCTGTTGTAGAAAAAGGAAGGATATAGTTAAGTTAATCGTAACGCTTGTCAGGCGGATAGATGCTTGCAGACGTATCGCATTTAAGAACGCGTAAACGAGATGATTGTAGCAACATCTGTCAGCCAAAAAATCATTCTGGCATTTCCTTTAGTCGCCTCTTATTACACTCATAAGTTGAAAGGGGATTGTAGATTCTTTTACGCGGTACCACATGGAAAATATTTAAATATTCCGAAAAGTCTGAAAATCATAACTATTTTACTATATTTCAGATTGAGCCATGTCAGTGCGGTGTATTCATGTCGCAGCAGGTCGGGATCAGGGAGGGCCGACGTGGGCGACCACGTGGTCCGCCGCAGGGCGAACCAGTGGTCACTTACGACACCGATTCACCGAGCCTGCCCTGCGGCACTGGTGGCTTTAAACACTGCGTCAGCAAGTGCCTTGATGTGGTATGAATTTTTTGACTATCGTAACATTGATTCAGTCATTGTTGTTGTACCTATTTTATTTTTCTTAATATTGCCTTTAACATTCAAATAATATTTAGAATTATTTTTGCTTTTGATAGTTTACATTCTGTGTGCGTTTAAAATTTATAGACGACTTAAAAAAAAGAAATTCTAAATTCAAATGCAAGTTATTTTGTATGCAGGTGTGTTTCACACCTTTGTCGATGTTGAAACGATTTTAATGATTTTTTTATTAAATAGGCTATACTTAAGGGTGTTCCCATTTAAATTTGGGGAGAAATACCACTACTAAGTGTGGATAAATATGGTTTAAAGTTTTTATAATAACTATTTAGTCATCTTCAATTTTTTGTTGTTATTTTGAGCTTGTGATATTCTTGAGCCCGTTCAAAAAGGTCAAAAATAAACTTTTAATAAAAGGTAAAAATCGACTTCGAAGTACTATTTAAAATGAATAAAATAATTTACACATAATAGTTTCAGAAGTCGAGGATTTAATTCAGAAGATAGTAGAAACTATACACTATATCTTATAATAAAATTCAAATATAGACAATAATAAAAAACCGTGATAAAAAAAAACTAAACTAAATGAAAATTATCATACAGCCCTATTTTAATAGCAAAATTTTAGTTAGAATAATAATAATAAATCTTTATTCATAAGACTTAGCCTACAATTACAATAATATGCGTGAATTCGTAAGTCAGTAAGTCATCAAATATCATTCCAGATACTGAAGTACCTTCCAAGAGCCGGATCAGTGATATGCGGTGCAATAGAACGTGATGTTTACAGAGAGAAAGCTTTCCTGTTTATTAAAAATTGCGGCGGTGATTGGTCACCGACCAATTTCTCAGCTGGCAAGGAGTTCTGCTGTAAAGACGGAGAGCATCAGAAGTGTTAAAAAATCTATATTGTCAATGTGAAAAAAATGAAAGCGTCTGTGGTAAATTTTTTATAACGTCTTAACATAATGTTTAAGAATTTTGTTATCAAAAAAGCATTGTTTAATGTTAATTAAGCAATTCTAAAATTATTTAAACAATTTTAGAATTAGCGAATTTTTATTCAATATTTATTTATTGAACTTTAGCCACAAAAATAGTTTTAAATACGAGTAGGTAACGTTTACATATTCATTTATTTAAACATGTTCCAAATGTTTGTCATACAAATCGTTTATAAACGCACGTATATTTTGTACCTATCAAAATACACAACTTCATTTAATTTAACGAATTAATTTATGAATATTATAGTTTTGATGTAACATGATGTAGATTGTAGACTAGCTATAAAAGTTAGGGCGTATGTTACTTAACATCACATTAAAACGAGAGAAATATTTCAATTATCATATATTATAATAGTATCGTTAAGTATTAATTACTATCTATTAATGTATTTAATATTTTTATATTTACTGAGTGGTTTTATTGTACCGGGTGTAATTATTAAACCGATGAATGATTAAACTATAATTAGTTTAACAAGTTTATAAGAAAATTAGGTAGTATAAATGACTTTTTTTTAATAAAACCTTTTCATATTATAGTCTTTTTTTTTCATTATAAACGTATTATGTTTATGACATACTAATTAATTTCGCCAACAACAATAATAACTGAACACTATCGTAATTTATTGCCAGCCTTGTTCCGCAATTGCATAAACCTGGGACGCAAACTATATTATATGTTTCGGATTAGAAAGAATTCCGATTGGAAACCAACAATTTTTGTTTTTGCATATACTATGTTACCTTTTTTTTAATTTATTTTAAGCCAGTGCTTATTTTGACCACAATCCCATCTGGAGGTAAAGGCTGATGTAGCCCTAGATGGTAAATTGCACTATCTTAGCGTAACAAAAGCCTATTCACTCTAGCCTTGAAGACGCCCAGATTGTATTCGCACGGAAAAATAGACGCCGGGAAATAATTCCATTCCTATGCTGTACCCATTACAAAAGACGAAGCAAACCGTTTGGTTCTAATGAGTGGAATATGGACACAAAAGGGGTGAAGACCCGCCGACCACCTTAAAGTATGTAATTCCTGCGCTCACTCACTGTAATGCATCCTATAGAATACCGAGAGGCTGGCTTGGCTACTCTGCGCCTGAGCTCGAGGCTGACAAAATTGGTTTCAACCATATCAAGGTTAGCCTTTTAGCACGTCTCTTCACTGTGTTCAATGCTGGTAGGTGGCATTTTGTAGCACTAGCATGTGTGACAACAGTACTCCTTGCACGATCGGACATGCTCTTTATATAGGGTAAGATGCTACACTGGCGTAAAGTACCGCCGCATCCTTGCAAGGACATCTAGTTTCTTTGCGGCTGCTTTAGCTCTGGAGTCAATGAACCACCCATAGTTGAGGTTCGGAGAAAATTCAACCCCAAACAACTGAAGGCGGTCAGTGTACTCCAAAGATAGTTATATTCCAGAAAGTAGGGTGAGTGCGTGGGTGAAAAGACACACTTGTATTTTGGAGGCGTTGAATCTCACGAGACGCTTGGCAGGCATGTTGGCAACCGCAATATTTTATTATTATTATACTTGTCATTGAAATTTTATCTCCCGCTGTATTAAAATTGTAGAAAAAACGGACACACCAACGGGCCTTGACCATGTGTACCAGCAAGAAGAAGAAAAAACTTACAATGATTAGAATGATGATGAGTTGAATAATTTACGTGTTAGAGAACAGATGTTGAGTAGTACTACTTTTGTTTTCAATTTTTATTGTAAGGTAGTTAGTTAGTAAGGGTTTGGCCATTTAAGATTTGGAATTTCAATCGGCTATAAAAAAAACGAATGAATATTTTTTCAAAGTTATAGGTTCATTACAAAGATTGTACCTTTCCATTTAGGAATGAAAGACATCATCACATGACTGCCAACGCTAGCCTTACAATATCCTAATCGGTCAGTCCAATTTTTCAGTACATTTTCGATTGTTTGGGCCTCTATTTCGTCAATGGAACCTTCGATTTCATGTTTCAAGTCGTTAATCGTCTCTGGATGGTTAGCGTAACACTTGTCATTAAGGCTTCCCACAAAAAAGTCCAACGGAGTCAAATCGCAGCTTCGAAGTGTCCAACTGACATCAGCATTTCGGCTGATTATGCGATTTTCGAAAACAGTGCGCAAAAGATCGATTGTTACGTTGGCTATGTGGCACGTTGCGCCGTCCTGTTGAAATTAAATGTCGTCTATATCATCTTATTCAATTTTGGGAAACAAAAACATGCTTAGCATGGTTCAGTAGCGATTGCTATTCACTGCAACGGCGTTTCCTTGCTAATTTATGAAGAAAAATGGCCCAATAATGCCGCCAGACCAAAATCCGCACCAGACGGTCACTCGTTGTGGATGCATTGGTTTGTCCACGATGACGTGTGGATTTTCTGAGCCCCAGATACGACAATTTTGCTTATTGACGTATCCTCCGAGGTGGAAATAAGCTTCATCTGTAAAGATGATTTTTCGATAAAAATGCTCATCTTCGATCAAGCGGTATTCGGCCCATTGAGCAAACCGAAAACGCACCGGATGGTCATGCTGCTTCAGGTCTTGCACTAATTGAACTTTGTACGCATTCATACCGAGATCTTTATGCAAAATTCTTCTCAAAGTATTGCGTGAAATGTTCAATTCTTGAGAACGTTGACTGACGAGTTGATGTTGATGGTTGTTCACGCACACTCTGAGCAACAGCAGTGATGTTTTCGGTTGAACGCACTAGAAGAGCAGTACGTACACGGGTTGTTTTATCCAACAACGATCCAGTTTCACGAACTCGCTTCACAAATTGATCCACAAACTGCGTTTTACGCACATCCTTTTTGTCAATTTTTTTTTTAAATTTCTTATAGTTTGTTTAGAATACTCACCACTTTGGAAATAAGTTTTTATTATTTCCCAACTTTGTTCAAGCGAATCGAGCCACCCATTCCATAAATGTCAAACATAAAACTAACTTTCTGTCACATCGGGAATGTCATCAAATCTTTCAACCTCAAAATTACCTGTAGATCCAATTCCAAACGTTAGATGGCCCAACCTGTAGTTATTCATATGTGTTTTTTCGCATTTAGATGATGTGCGCCATATAAAGAAGTTTATGTCTTCAGTCCATTTTTTCGAGCACATAAATGGCCAGCAGTGGGTGCAGGCTTAATGTCTTATGCCTCCCGCACAACAGTCTTGTAATTCGGGAAGAATATGTAATTCTGGATAACGGTGTTGAATTGGGTGATCGAAACTCCTCAAAGTTCAAAAGCTTTATTAAACAAAGTTTGTATAAAAAAAGGGGTAAATATTAAGGAATTTATGGGTGATAATAATCCCTCGGAATGAGGTGGTCGCTACCAAGTTATTTCTAATTTGTTTTGTGCTGTTAATTGTACTATAGTGGATAACATCAACTACTACAACGATTACCAAACTGCTACCATAAACTTCTTTCGTTTTGTGTACAATTTGGCTTGGGCAACTGAATCTAATTTCTGTGATGAACACTTGCGATATTAAAATAAGATGTCTTGTCATCGCATGCAACATTTCGGCTCAAAATTCCCTCCGTTCTATGTCGATTCAGCAATATGATGCAAGCTTGGCGGGCCTCTCGTTGTGCGTCACTCAGTTCATGAGGTACCCTATATCTAGCTTCTTTATTGATTTGCCGTAAATTATCTCATATTTGACACTTACATCAAAAGCTGACGCTAGATTAGCCGTAGTTTGAGACCCGCTTGCACTATCACCTTTAGTTCATCAATATCACAGTTCTACTCCGGGTGGCAAAGAGGTTTATATGTGTGGTCGAAATTTCCCGAACGAAAGTGATTGAACTAATAGCTCAAAGTTCGTACGTTAGTAGTGCTAGGTCTATATACGTCAAATATAGCAATATTGCAAAAAAAAAAAGAACTACAACCTAAAAGATAACGAATTTTTCTAAGTAACCTTAAAATTGCTGCAGATTTTTGGCGTTATAAGTATGGAAATAGAAACAGTAGCGTATTCGTAGCATAGTTTGCAGCTGCCTGGAAAATGCCTCCTCTCACCCCACGTCGTATTTTCCCAAGTATCTTAAAAATTTATAATGGGTAAAGATATACTATAATTTTGTATATTATTTAAGAATGTTTAAAAATTAATAAAATATATGTATATTTTGTACTTAACACTACCCGTGGCAAGTGTGTATGTGTGCAGATTATCTTTTATTTCAGAATATTCAAAGCTACAGGGTTTGTTAATATTTAAATCAAAGTATTCGCTGAGAGTTTTTTTCAGGTTCATACTCGAATTATTTAAGAAATCAGAAGGCGGTGAGCTGACTTTCATTCACAATATGCCGCCCCCAGAAAATTTCTGCAAGGCCCATGGCCCATTCCCCTTGATCCTTGCTTCGCCATTTAATAAAAATATATGTTTTATGGTAGGGATAGCTAGGCCTTTTCTAGGCCTTTTTTAGGTATATTACTGGTAAAAAGGCTTCCTTTTCTGCCTGCTTTTCTTGTCGACCCATTTACCTATTCCTGCCACTAAACAGGACTGCACAACTACTGTGATCCGTATCGAAAAAATGACAATGCCTTAGAAGTTACAACGTTACCAATCGCGTTATTTCTTTGGAGTTGGCTATAGGTGTTTATGCGCATTAGGATTTACCATCAGGTAGACTGCCAGCTCGTTTGTCACTCTACTGCGTTAACAAAATTGAAAATATTTTACGTAGTTATACGAAAAACTACAAACATCAACGTACGAGCGTTAACTCTGCGTTTGTAGTTTCCGTTCTAATAAATAGATGTCGCTGTGTGGCACAATAACGTCATTTGGTATATGGTTACATAAGTTTTCTGTACTATATCTTAAAATAAAAGCCATGTG